AAATTTCACTGCTTTGTACTTTAGTCTATGCAAAATTAGTTCAAACATTGGAAAACAGTTAAAAATTTCACGCACCAGCGCAAGAAAGCTAAATTCGAAACCTTGAAAGATGAATATCTTTTCGTGATTCCCGAGTTAACAGTTTGTCCGCCAAAATTTTCACAAGGCCATAGGTGATGCCCGAGAGCGCGAGAACGCTGAATTTGAGCGGGGCAGGGGGTCATTCCCCCAAAACTTCAGCCTCCTAGACTCCATGATTCCCGAGATATTAACTTACCCGTGAAAAAATTTCACGTGGCCATACGTGTTACCCGCAGCTATGGGAAGAGTGAATTTGAATGGGCAAAGTTGAACGTGGGCGGGGGGTCATTACCCTAAAATTTGAGCCTCCAAGACTCCGTGGTTCCCGAGGTACTAACTTACCCGTAAAAAACTTTCACAGGGCCGTACGCGTTACCCGCGGGTACGGGGGGTTGAATTTAAATTTGCGGGGTCACACGTGGGTGGAGAACGTTATCCTAAATTTTCAGCCTCCTAGCTTTTGTGGTTCCCGAGTTGAAAGTTGCGGACAAGTTGCTGCGGAGAAACGTTACCCTAAATTTCCAGCTTCCTAGCTTTTGTGGTTCCCGAGTTGAAAGTTGCGGACAAGTTGCTGCGGACACAAAGACAACCCAGTGACAGTGTGCGTTTTGTACTGCTGTTACACAGCACAATACGCATAAAAATAGAGAATGCGATATTCAACTCCCAATAAAAGAGAGAGGATGTTCTGAACCTGACAAACCTTGCCGGGAATGGTGCTTACTTTCTAAACAGCTCCTGTATATACTGACAAGAAATTTTTACGGTTATCATTTACATAATCGAAAGTTTTCGATGAGAACTCTAGAAGACAACACGGCTTCAGAAAACAGCTTACAACTACCACCTACGTTCAACAGTAAGGACGCTGGTAGAAAGACCGAGAGAACGCAAAAATCCTTTGTTACTGGCCCATTTTAAGAAGACTTTAAACTTACCGAAACGCAATACTGTAACATATGTCTTCTAAATTCGATTTATCGAAGGCTCTACGAGGTGAACAAACACAGAAATCAATTTTTTCGTTAAGTACATTAAAAACAAGGACTGACGAAGGCATGAAGCACAGCGACGACTGTTCGTCGAAAACTTTTACTGGCTTACTTGAAAACACTCCAAGGAAAAATGTTATAAACAGCCAACGCACGGGCTGCCCATGCGAAAATGCGTTTTTTGCAGAGTTCCCCGCAGGTTTTTGTCGCTACCGGCATCGGTTTTTTGACAAATCCTTCTAGCTATACAAATTAAGACTGGCCGCCAAAACTGGCAGGAAACACCCCCTTAAAATTACAGTCTAGCATCTCAGATCCCCGAGTTATGGATTTGCGCGGGGCTCGTACTCGGGTACCACGCTTACCCGGCGGTTGGGTTTAAGCTCATTAGTACCTACTTGGACGGGCAACATTCCCTTAAAATTTCAGCTTTCTAGCTTCTCAGAACTCCGAGTTATGAATTTACGCGCGGAAAGATTTTGGTGGGCCTGTACGCGGGCACCACGCTTACCCGGGGGTTGGGTTTGGGCTCATTAGTACCTACTTTGACGGGAAACATTCCCATAAAATTTCAGCTCTCTAGCTTTTCTGGTTCGCGAGTTAACAGCTTACCCGTAAAA